AGATCATCCAATTCTGCATAAGTATCAGGCTGTTCCTGTGACTGAGATAGCGGCATCGTTTTCCGAATTTCCTCAACACTTTCTTCGTCCGACAAATCGAACTCCGGCCTGTCATCATATATTTCGACATCGTTTTCCGAATTTCCTCAACACTTTCTTCGTCCGACAAATCGAACTCCGGCCTGTCATCATATATTTTTTCTGATTCTGTCCGTTTTGGGATATTTGGAGTCTGGGATTTCAGTTGCTTTACTTCTGACACTAAAGTGTCTAATAATGACTGTTGTTTTGTCAAAATTTCCCCAAACGTCGATTCGTGAATGGGCGCCGCCATTGTTCCGCCTTGGGAAATATCTCGTGAAATCTCACACTCTTATCAGTGGCGGATCGAAATTCATTTGTTTCTGCGTCCCAGATTAATTGACTGCTCAATGGCAAAGTCACAAATAGCTATCCAGAATTTGATGTATTTTCAGTCCCACAAATGGGCACATTTTTGTCATTTAACCCAGAATTGGGCATAGTTTTATTTGGATTAATGTTGCAAGTCCCAGAATTGGGCACAGTCCCAGCCTCATCACCCAGAATTGGGTTAGGCATATCGTGTTACATAAAAACGTTTCTGGTACTTTTGCGTTTTTTTCCACGGACAAATCACAAAAAAGTTTGTAACTGCACTGAAGAATTGGAAAATTCTGATATCATGGAAAGTTCTATAAACTTGATACAACACTATATAAATTCCACGTCTTTACATCTTGGGAAACCTCTAAACACTGACCATCACGTGACCTCTAAGCAATCTCACTGGTTCCTCAGTACAGTTGATTTGGTAAAATATACAATTATTGACTTTTGATGAGGTCTACTCGTGACTATAAGGGCTTAAAATTTACACTTTTTTCACACTTAAGTTCTTGTCGCTAACACTCACATTTTAAGTATATTTTATCAGTCAGAGAAATGATTATAATATAAATAAACAATAAATACTTAACTATATACTAAGAAAGGAGTTGTTTACATTCACAACGACACATGCTTTAAAACGTGCAATTTGATTGGTCGAAAATAATGTAAGCAGATCTATGTTTGGTCCAGTCCTCCTGGAACTTCATTTGAGGTGTACATCTCAGGAAGAGGCGTCTAGACCAGTCAGATGGCATCAAATTCCTGATCATTTAATGTAATAATTAATAGAAGAGAAACATTGACCTCAGTGTCAAATTGTGGTCACCGTTCAAATTTCTACAACATTTTTTGAATGCAAACAAAGATAAGTAAATAAAATATATGTTCATCGATGATTTACGCAATGCCAAAAACTACATTTACAATCTTAATAAAAGGTTATGGTTCCTTGATAATTTCTCTACATTAATAACATCTTTTTTTTTTTAAAAATCATGGACCTGCAATTTCGTGTTGGCTTGCCAAGGGTTTCGAATCCGCTTCTCCTTTTTTCTGAAGAGAGTAGCGGACCAACACACTTGACAAGCAAAGAAGGCGGTTTTTAGACATTTTTAATGTAGACTGATTGAAAATTTAGCAAAAGTCTCTGTCGTGTGCATAGAACAATATATACAACAAATGTCGCTTCAAACTTACCCATATCCTAAAGATGGCTCTGAATATTTAAATCTAGAGGTAATGTCAATTTCTTCAAAATGCACATTTTGTATTAAAAAATCACCAGTGTTATAATGCAAAATATAATAAAGATTTATCTGCAAATCAAATTGAAATCATATTGTTTATGGATAAATTTTTCCTTAATATCTAACTATCCAACCTTTAACCCGGATTATTTAATGTGGAAAATATATCATGTCAATTTCCTTTGGGATAAGATGTATCGACACTTTATACATGTATTTTGACCAATGAAAGTATAATGTACCTGGGTTTTTTTTACTTACATATTACAGAGTACATACACTTTACGGTGAAAATAGTTGACGTCAAAAGACATGCAGTGATTTTTTGATCATCCTACACATATAGATAAAAAATAGGTCCGAAAATCAAGGATCATGTTTTCATGGTGTGTAAATTTAATTGCATGAAAAGGAAAATATTTACCCATGTTTAAGTCAATGTGTCAATAAGTGAAAGATAAACCCATCAAGGCACTAAAACGAATCATGTTTGTTCATTTCGGTGAAATGCCTGTCTTTATCCCGGGCAGATGGTGCTAGAACTGGTCCGCGGCGACGGTACCCCTCCAGATCTTAATGAGTTATTTACAGATCATAAAACTATGGCATTACGAGCATAAATTGAGAAAGATTTATGAACGAGTTGGTCGATATTGTTTATCTATTCTCCCATTTTGTGTAGTCGTTAAAAGCTGCGATAAAAACCTTATACTGGGAGCGTGCAGGGACCTCTAAAACAGCCGTGATAGAAATTCCGGTGTTACCAGCGCGCTGTCCCGGACCAGCTTTAGAGAGACACTTGCGGTAATGCACTCTCCTTGGGCTTAGCTTATCTGTAATAGAGATGATTGAGATTCGATGGCCATTCTGTTTTAGTAGCCGTAAACCCCCACCATTGAGGCACAAGTATTACCTAATCCTTTACATGTAGTTGTCTTTCTAGAATGTGTAAAGCTTTTCAGGCTACAACTTACCATATACCAATTATTTGTAACCGCCTTTCATTAAGGTAATGATATCTTCATCAATTAACATGCTAAGGTTTTCAATCTACAAAGCAGGTAATACATGTTAAATACTTCAATACATGTTTAAGGTACGTTGATACTCTGATAAGAGAAATAACTCTTAATGACACATATGTCTATTATTCCTTTACAAATTTGTCAAGTTTAAGAGCCTTTTTTGTCAAATTTTGCTCCGCAAGCCATGCTATAATTGTTTGTGATTTATTCAGCATATACATTTCCTTTGGAAAATCATAAAAGTTAAATAAAAAATTCATATGAGTGAGCAGAGGATTTATGAACCTTAAGGATTTTAAAGCCTTTATGCATACGAACCCAGAACAACCATGCAGTCATTAACTCTAGTATGTAAAGAATATATAAGATAAGTATCCTTCGTCGCCTTTAACAGCAACGTATTTTACATTATTATACCTCATTATAAATATTCTAAACAACGCGTTATCTGATTGGTTCCAAGTTTTCACGTGATCCGGCCGTAAAACTTCATATTTCCCGGCCATTAACTCTAGTATATAAACGAACGATAATTTTTATATAAGTATCCGAAGAGGTGGAATAACCTGGTTTACGTCATAAAATTGATGATAATATGTTGACCAAAGGGTTTTATAGTAACTTTACGTAAAAAATGAAAGTATTGCTTGTTTCGGTATAATAAACAATTAACAGTAATGTATTTTACAATAATACCGGGGAATATGATTTTTCTTGGCTGAATAAGTCTTCATATTTCCCTCACTATCATGCAATAAATGTATAATATTCCCTAAGTAATTTAATTATTTTATAAAACTGCATTTTTCTTTCCTTTGCTTGTTTTACGTCCCTTCTTGATATTTCACCAGTTTTGGAATGCTGCCAAGTAATCAGGTACTTGTGGCAACTGTGCAGCGAAGGATCTTTTATCGGAACAGAAGACATGGTGTAACCAAATATAAAACCAACCAAACAAACTACGAATTCTTACCTATTTGCATCTGAAATATTAAAAATGGGATCATTATAACACTCATTATATTATCTCTTTCAAAGTTTAGCTTCACTGTAATTAAAAAAAAACCCATAGAGGCATGAGGCGTGTGGATCCCTTAGGCCTCCAAACAAGTCCAAGACGGATCCCCGATAGGCATCATTTGGAAGGTTAGAACATTTTGTATAAATCGTACACAAATGGATTGGACGCAAGTTCCAACAACTTTTGAGGTCCTCACCACAAGAAGGAGAGTGTAAAAAATCCCAACTGTCAAGGAAGATTTCCCTTCTGATTATTTTATGTATAATTTTAAGTTAAAATTTTTAAAGTGGACGTATGATGTTCTAGTAAAACACTTCGAAGAAAAAAAAACAATAGTTTACTTTTATGTTTAAAAACATATTTCATGTCATTGTGAAATGCATGTCATTCTAAACTAATTTGTTGCGGTCTTGGCGTCGAGATACGATAGAAAAGGTTTGAATAGGAGGAGTAATTAGAAATTAAAAAAATACTTACTTGAGATGACCTATGCTCTAGCTATGTGAAATGAAGTTCTCCAGAAGACGGATTTATTGTGATAAATTTTCGTTCAGAAGCCAACCCCTTGTCCGTACTCGGGATTTGACTTATGGCTGTAATGACGTTTAAGTGTGGTAAAATATGTAAGATTAAATCACTTTGAAGCCAAAATGAAAGTTTCAAGAACTTGTAAGGAGCTGCATAAACTATATACAGTACAGCGAGAGAATCTTTACAGAATAGGACAGTCTCGATACTTGAGAAGGAGAGGACATCACTTCAAATGAGGCTTACTTTTGATAAAGCTGAGAGAGCTTTCTCCCAAAGATGTAAAAATTCACTGTATACAATCTCACCAAAGAGAGGAACCCTCTTCAGATAGAGTGAAAAACAAACCGAGTGTAGCAACAGTATAGTTGTCCGGACAAGGGGCCCACTCCGAGAATGTTTGATAAGGTTGTTTCACAGTGAAAAGCTGCCGGCCTAAGCTAACATATAAAGGGCTCTTTGAAGTACTTGTGAAGTAGGTTTCAATAATCTAGAATAAAGATATTTATTTTGAATTGACTTGTAGATTTGCTTCAATTTAAATATTTTCCTGTTAATTATCGTAATCCGCTATTTTAAAGTTATCGCTGATTTGTTTATGCAGGTCTTTCGGCTGTTTTAATTTGTGAAAAGGGGACTTGTTTTGAGGATTAACTCGGACGCTTTCAACTATGCGTATTTTCGTTTATTTTACGGGACTTTTTAAGCATTAATACAGAGATTCGCTTGAATTATCGATCTGATATCCCGTACAAACCCCGCCTCCTATTCAAGAGAAGATAATCGGATAGGCGGGTACTTTCGCGGTTGTCTTCCAATCGGTGAGGTAATCTCTTCGGGGTATTGTCGCTTTTCTTCGTTATCCTCTCATTCCAATAGGAGACGACAGGCAATTTCAAATATGACAGGCGTACCATTACGCTCACATAAGCTCTTCATCGGACGAGCAACCTGGTGAGGGGCAATTTAGAGGTCTGAAGAGGACCGTTTACTGTTCACTTCTTGTAATCTTAAGCAGAAAATCAATTTTACACTTAGATGGATCCCCAACTTCATGCCATGAATGGTGCCAAAACCAGCAGCAGTTTTACCGTCAAAGATATTTTGGACTTACCTAAGGGAAAACCGGCTTGTAGTCCTGTTGATAGCACCACAAATACCGTAAATGCAGCTTCCCTTAGAAGTATTCCGTCCGTCCCGGAAGTCCCGGATATAACCAGTGTTGGCGGCTACTATGATGCAGAAAATCCGTACACACGCTGGTTACATAATAACGAAAATATGAATTATTCACGTAAGTTTTATAGGCTATATTTATTTTCATGGCGCAAGAAAAGACGTGGCTTTTTAAAATCTCGTTATTATTGCAGTTAAGCTAGAATTTTAAGTTTGAAACCAAAATACAACGAAATTAATTATTTCCTTAATAAGGAGAAAATGAGCATATTTGACAATCATGTTTTTAAAAATTGCGTCAATAAAATAGGTAATAAAAATAAGAACAACTTTACTTTTACTTATTTTCATTGTTACATTTTTTTTATTTGGAAAGAACTTTCATGGAATATTGCCGAATAATTCAGAGCGTAGTTCTAAGAGATATATTGCAATTTGCAGAAATGTGAGATTTATTACTTGTTTGATATAAGAATTTGTCGAAGATAGACACAACCTTTGTACACTTTGAATCATTTAAATCAAACAAGAAGGGGGTTGTAAACCAGGGTCCGAATCACAAGGGGGTCATTTCTAATGATATACTATTTTAATTCATTTCCATTGATAAAACAGAATCTTTGAAGTTGATAAAAAAATTCAATAAAAGGATTAGAGAGTTTGGTTTCATATCCGGCCACCCGGCAAAATAGACAGAAGAAATTCTATTAGCTACTTTATTCCATTTGGACTTTGTGGGCTATTATGACTTCTTTAATTAGATTTAGATGGCTTTCTTGTTCATCTGAATATCGTCAAACCCTCTCCTATTGTAGAACTTGGACACCTGAACTCGCCCGGCAACTCCAGTCATTCCAGCGAGATTTCTAATACGGAGAGTCACTCTGTTATGAATAATTCGAACACACTAGTGAAATCAGAGGCAAGCAATGATGGGCAGTGTGATGGAAATAGTGAAAATGGGGATGGTAACTCCTCCCAAAACACAGACAGTCAGAAAAAGCGAAAACGACGTGTTCTCTTTTCCAAAGCTCAGACTTACGAACTGGAGAGGAGGTTTCGCCAACAAAGATACTTATCTGCCCCAGAGCGGGAACATCTAGCGAGCATCATAAGATTAACCCCCGTGCAAGTGAAAATTTGGTTCCAGAATCATCGGTATAAACTAAAGCGCGCACGACAGGAGAAAGGACTAGATTTGAACCCTCTACCCTCACCCCGGAGGGTAGCTGTTCCCGTCCTTGTGAGGGACGGAAAACCGTGTCAGCCACCGATGGGTGGTTCCATGATGAAATCGCAAGAACAGTTAGAAATGCAGACCAATTTAGGATCAGCTGTGAACATGAATGGTGCTTTGTCTCAAATGAACGGTATGTCATCTATACCCGGCATGAACAACGCCGGTATGCCTCCAATGAACTCTCTGAACACTTCCTCCATGTCAAATATGAATAATATGAACATGAGCTGCTCTTATAATTCTATGAACTCCATGAACTTGAACATGAACAATATGAATGTTCTTCCCAGCTACAGCTACCCTTTAATGCAGCACCAAACACGCTGGTGGTAGCGAAAAAAATTTCACCGGTCACAAATTCAGTGCTTTACAAAACGACATGTGCTACTTACACATAAACCAGTAAATCTATAAAAACTTTTCAGATAAACGCATGTTTTAGAGGATTTAGATCTCTAGAGTTTATAAAATCTGCCGAACACGGGTTTACAGGTAAAATTGACTATTTCAATTTTGGGATGTAAATCCGTTCACTTTATTTAAAAAAAGTGCTTTAGATATGTTGGAAAATGCATTGATCTTTTACAAGCAACTTTCGATATATATTTTTTTGTTAATTTTATATAGTGCTTTTTATCATATTATATTTCGTTCTACGCAATGATCTTGATTTCAATGGTCTGTCTTTTTTGGACAGGAATAAAGTTCTCCAAGAACTAATCTAAAGTTTATTTTCATTTTTTGTGCTTTTTTGATGGATTGGGCAGCAATTTCGATTTATTTACTCGACTTTAAGAGCCCACTGCATTTTTTATCGGCTAATTCATCCACTGTATTTCTTAAGAAATGTTT